ATATATATATATATATATATATATATATATATATATATATATATATATATATATATATATATATATATATATATATATATATATATATATATATATATATATATATATATATATATATATATATATATATATATATATATATATATATATATATATATATATATATATATATATATATATATATATATATATATATATATATATATATATATATATATATATATATATATATATATATATATATATATATATATATATAAATAGATATATATATTTAGATATAAAGATAAACTGATAAATTGTTGAATAGAGCTTATGAAAAAAAAAAAAATGTTTTTCTGAAGGCACCTCAGGATGTCAGCAATCGGACTTTTGCTGTTGGGCGTGGTGGCGGCGGTGGGCGGGGCCAACGTGTTCCCCGAGCCACGCCTGGAGACGCTGCCCTGTGGAACGACCACCATGAACCCCGGCGAGCGACTGGCTATCCAGTCGCCCAACTTCCCTCAAAACTACGACACGGACTACAGGTGATTTTTTGCTCATACTTACGTGCTCTCTTGTATCAAAACGGGTATCATTAATTGGCGTCAGTATTCGCAATTTCCTTTATCTTTCTTATATATACCGACAGGTGCCAGTACGAGATCACCTGCAACCCCATGGAGTCTACCTACCTGGAGTTCATCTGTCCTACCTTCGAACTGGAATCCTCCACCGACTGCCTCAATGACCGCCTGGTGGTGACTTACCATGGCTCTCGCGAAGAGTAAGTTATTTGGGCCTTTTGCTTAACGAAATCTGAGGCTTTCTCTCGTTTCCTCGAATCAGTTTGTTTACTTTAATTTTTCTGCGCAGGAAATGCGGCACCGACAGTCCCGATGGAACCATCACCTCCGACGGGTGGACGCGCCTCACCTTCGCCAGCAACGCCGCCACCACCGCCCCTGGCTTCCGCTGCTACACCTGGTGCCGCGAACAGACCACCATGACCTCCACCACCACTTCAACAACAACCACAACTACCACCACTACAACGGCTGCCACCACCACCACTACACTTACCACAACACTTACAACTACCACACCTACTACCACACCACCTATATCTGAACCAAGCACACCTACCACAACACCTCCAACTACCACACCTACTACCACACCACCTATATCTGAACCAAGCACACCTATCACAACACCTCCTACCACAACGCCTCCAGCTACCACCCCGGTCTGCTAAATCACAGAATTTAAATCCTAGAAAAGCCATACTATGTCATTGAAGTATTCTTATCTAATGAATTATAATGTATAATCTATCTTTGAATCACATACAAATTGAACCGAAAAATGGTTTTAAAATGAGATAAATAAAGTTGAGAATAAGATATGTATGTGACGTCATCAGTATATTTGAAATTATGTATATTTGTGCATGTTAGCTTTAGATATATTCACACTACATATGTATATAAATGGCATGAATTCAAGGGGTTCTGTAAATGGCTGGCTCCATTTACGTAAGATAAGACAAATGGAAATGTGTAATAGAAGGTTCAATGTCCGAAGATGAATTTTCTCAAATGCAGAATTTATATATTAAGCAAGGGAGACTTTGTTCTGACCTACCTGCAAGATATGATGAGAAAGCAAACACTATGTAGAAATGAAAAAGGAAAGTAAAAAAAAATGAAATAAACACTATAACAAAAGCGGATGGGTTCAAACGAATGAACAAAATGACCCCCAAACCTAAAACGGTGCAGCGATTATGCTTCGAGGCAAGACGCATTGCAGAAGCAGCTATTTAGTACAGCAAGCATAAAGGTAAAAGTCGTCGATGATACAACTGGCTCCGAGATTAACGAAGAAGCCTTTGCTGTCAGTTCAACAAACGCATCTACCTCAGCGACAACGCCCACCTCAATTACTACAGTAATACCATACCATGAATATATGTATGTAAATATATTCATATATATACACATATGAATATGTATATATATACATATATATACATACATACATATATAAACATATCTATTCATATATATACACACTTCTACATAGATTTGTTCCTCCAGAGTCTTCCATATTAAAAGTTTGTGAGATGATGTAGGTTTAAACAATAAAAGATTAGACAGTTAAAGGATCTTCCCTCAAGCCAATATGGGATCTTGAACACGGCCCGAGAACAAAGGACACCGAACACGCGGGTATGACTTGGCTTTCCAATGACAGTGGTATATAATGGAGGATTTAGAGCATCTGTTGGACTAAACCGAGCTCAGATCACTCAGAAAAGTAGAAAAGTAGCAGAGATCTTTAGTCAGACAGGGCTAGGCTCTACTTAGGCAGTGTGGTCCAGTGCATGACATTAGAATACTGAAAAAGGGCTGGACTGAGGACCCTACACTGTGGCATTCCATTTCCTAGCGGCATGTGCTATGATAGGTGACTTTGGAATCTGACTTTGGCTGTTCTATTCCTGAAATAGTCACCCATCCAAGCCAAGAGTTTTCCTCTGATTCCCTTTAAGATCAGGGTCTCCTGAAGAGCAAGAGGACTTGCTAATTCAAAAACCTTCTCCAGGTCCAGGAATACTACCGCAGATGTGATAAGTGTTAATTGTGCTCAATAGCATTGCTATGCTGGGTGCTGTGCTTATGCTCCTTGTGAACCCATGGAGGTGTTCATGTGGATGTCCCATTTGCCATTGGAGTTGGTTTAGTACCATTCTCGGCCATCTTTAGTTTTGGAATGGCTCTTTTAGTTTTGGGATGGGAACTATGGCAGCCCTCTTCCAGCTCTGGAGTAGAGTGGAGGTTTTCTAGGACTTGTTGATGAGTTGCAGGGGTGCAAGGTCACCTGCCAGTCCTAGGTGGGAAATGATGGGGTACGAGATCCCATCAGAACCTAGGGATGAGCGAGTAATGTTTTTGTAGGTTTTTCTTAGTTCCCTCAGAGAAATGAGTTATCGGGTTCAGCTGCCCTTTCTCTAATATGAGCAAGTTCGCCTGGTTGTAGGCGTTCTTGGCTACCCTCAGTTCAGCTGACAGACTATTGCTGCTTGTTCTCGCAGAGAACTCGTGCACCAGTCTGTCTGCCTCTGACTGAGGGTCGTGGTTTGTGCACTTTGGGCTGACCGGCTGGTAGCATTCTGAAAGGCTTGCCAGTTGGCCTTGTCAGTTTTTCATTTTGGATTTGGCTGTGGCATTTGGGCTGAGCTAGCATCCATGAGAGTAGTAACAGTGCCATAGTGGTCACTTGTGACAGTCTCATCGACACACCATCTGATTCTCTCCACCAGAGTCTCAGTGGCTAAGGTGAGGTCTAGGACCCCTCTTCTGCCACGCGTAGGCTCTTGGGTATTGAGAAGAGCGGTCTCGGGGAATGTCTGAAGCACATTGGCTATGTGTCAACCTGTCGCATCCGGTGCCCTGCAGGGAGCCAGGATGGGGTGGTGTGCATTGAAGTCTCCCCCTATGATCACTCGATCTTGTGCTACAATAGCACAGACCTAGCTGATGCCAAAGCTCCTACAAAATGGCCTGATTTACACGTTGTACAGCTTGAGGGCCCCCTATGCTTGGTGAATCTCAACAGCAAGAGATTCAACATTATCTCCACAGTGCGGTGCATCGGCTATTGCAGAGCAGGGGATTGATGCTCTAACCAGGGTGATCAAGACTCTTTTGCCAACTGTGCTTGGCAGTATAAAGACATAATACCCTAAGAAGCGAACAGTCTCCTCTGTTAATGTTTCCTGGAACATGGCGATGTCAGTGTTCCATGATCGCACTATTGCATGGAGGATGGCATTTCTTGTTTTGAAGCCATATATATTCCACTGTAATATACTTAGATTGTGTGTCATGATGTTACTTAGTGTTAGTTACGTCTTTGTATTTGGATTCAGAGTCTGATATAGCAGTCTGACAATTCCATTGTGAAGTCCTCACTGAATGACATAAAGTCATCTATCTATCCATATGTGCATACTGCATGGACTAGATATACGTGTGATTTAACATTCAGTGCAGACATAGATTCAGATAAGGTTCATTTGAGAAATGATTAACATATAGGGATATATACTCCTGATTAATATAAGGACACGAAAAAGTATTATGGAGAATGCGAATTTATTGTGTAGTGGTACATCAACCAGTTCCGTACCTGTCTGCTAAAATAAGCTTTCCACCCATCACTGCAGTAACCGTGTTTGCCTCATTATGGTTTGGGAATGTCACCATAATGTTTTCCAATTCAACTTATGGACCTTCTCTATTTTATGCTCTTTCTCTTTTATGTCTGGGTGGTGTTAATAGCCTGCTGAGGCGTATGAGCAAGTAGTACATGCTTCTCAATCTAGCAGACTGGAGTGGTGGGTGTGGTTGTAGTAGGCGTGGTAGTGGTGGGTGTGGTGGTTGTGGTAGGTGTGGTGGTTGTGGTAGGTGTGGTTGTGGTAGGCGTGGTGGTTGTGGTAGGCGTGGTGGTTGTGGTAGGTGTGGTGGTTGTGGTAGGCGTGGTGGTTGTGGTAGGCGTGGTGGTTGTGGTAGGCGTGGTGGTTGTGGTAGGCGTGGTGGTTGTGGTAGGCGTGGTGGTTGTGGTAGGTGTAGTTGTGGTGGTTGTAGGGGTAGTTGTGGTGGTTGTAGGTGTAGTTGTGGTGGTAGGTGTTGTAGTGGTAGTTGGAGTAGTGGTAGTAGGTGTGGTCGTCGTTGAAGTGGTGGTCTGCTCGCGGCACCAGATGTAGCAGCGGAAGCCAGGGGCGGTGGTGTCGGCGTTGCTGAAGAAGGTGAGGCGCGTCCACCCGTCGGAGGTGAGGGTTCCGTCGGGATTGTCGGTGCCACATTTCCTGTGTGCAAAAAGCAAGTAAATAAAGCATTAATGAAGGGAAAGGAAGTGACGAATTTAATCTTCACAAATGAAAAAACGCCCTGACTTACTCTTCGCGAGAGCCATGGTAAGTCACCACCAGGCGGTCATTGAGGCAGTCGGTGGAGGACTGCAGTTCGAAGGCAGGACAGATGAACTCCAGGTAGGTAGACTCCATGGGGTTGCAGGTGATCTCGTACTGGCACCTGTCGGCATATATATGAAAGATAAAGGAAATTGCGAATACTGACGCCAGTTAATGAAACCCATTTTGATACAAGATAGCACTTAAGTATACGCAAAGAATCACCTGTAGTCCGTGTCGTAGTTTTGGGGGAAGTTGGGCGACTGGATGGCCACTCGCTCGCCGGGATTCATGGTGGTCGTTCCGCAGGGCAGCGTCTCCAGGCGTGGCTCGGGGAACACGCTGACCCCGCCCACCGCCGCCACCACGCCCAAAAACAGTGCTGACACGATCATCCTGAAATGTTTTCCTGTGAATACATTAATGGAAATCAAACGCATTAAAAACACGGAATATGTATAAATATTTGCCTTTATTTGTAAATACATTTCAGCTTGCATATATATGTATGTATATATCTGTATATATATGTATATATTGCACACATACACACACGCACACATATATACACACATATACATATATGTACATATACAATATATATACATATATACATATAAACATATATACACATATATGCACACACACACACACACACACACACACACACACACACACACATATATATATATATATATATATGCATACATGTATATGTATGTGTGTATATGTTGAATATAAATGCACACACACACACACACACACATAAATATATATATTTATACATATATCACACTCACATATATGTATACATACATATACAATATATATCAATATATAAATATATGTACATATATATGAATACAGACACATATATATGTAAATATATATGTATATATATATATGTATGTATGTATTGTTATGCAGTTATTACATAATACATGGAAAATATCAAAGGATTATCGTACAAGGTATAATATATTGAAGTCTATGTTGAAATATCCATTTTCTTTGATTACGTAGAATACGTTTTCATTCCTTTGCATTCATAAATGCTTATATAGTTGTTTTTACGTTATTGTGTATCTGTGAATAACTACAAAGTTATTTGGGGTAAAGTAAAATTATTTTATTTGAAATGTATTCGTAACAGCCATAAGGGCATAAAGGAAGTTGAGCTAATTTCTATTGTGAACGTTTACAGGCGTCAGCGGATCATGGCGGCCTGGGTTGGATGTGACAAGGATTTTGTGTTGTCTTAGACAAGTTTTTTTTTA